GTGTGTGTGTGTGTGTGTATATATATATATATATATATTTTTTTTTTTTTTCACGTTAAGAACTTTTTATATAAAAAATACTTGTAAAAAAGAACTTCTATGAACATTTTTTTTAAAATTGTGCTCGTGAAATATTTTTGTGAATTTGGTGTCATGCATGTAAATATGGCTACGCATGTGTACATCGTGTTTTTTTACGCAAATTATTAATGTGACTCCTCTGACTCCATACTTTCAGGCACTTCCAGATATAGTTGGAAATACATTTAGTCATATTGCATAAACTCTTCAAATGCTCACAAGGTCAAATGTGTTAGATACACATTAAAAACAACCACACTAACATAGTAATTACTTTTTAAGTAGGTTGTGATCTAGACATTGGCAGCCCTTAAAATGATTCGCAGGTTTGGTCAAAAGTTTGATCAATGTCTCACAGCGACTCCTGCATACTCCACATCTGGCTCCTCTTGAACACCCTAAAACAAAACAAACACGCGTGCAAAGAGATTATTTAAAACATATAATGTATAATGTGTCAATTTGCATACAAACAAACCCCAGATAGCAAGCACTTTTGAGTCGATTCTGGCTAAAATGCGACACTGTTGGGTCAGTCTCAGCATCGGTGAGATGATGGGCTAGAATTGTGCCAATGCTACAAAAACCTTCTAGCTGACTGACACATTTTTTTTCTCTTTGGGCTGGTCTCAGCTCAAAGCTGTTTTATTCATAGCGGGTCTGCTCTTGGTGCAGTTGTGTGTATGTACCTTCGGTCCAAATTTATACTGTTACAGACGACCACTGTCAGAATGAAAAATCCCATATGACAAAATAAATAAACAAATAAATAAAGACAGTTTGGTGGTTGAATTGTGATTAGAATCAAGTGTTTGATTAAGCACACTGCCCAGTAATGTAATGCTTATGTTTCTGTAAATAATGTTTATTAAATAAAACGCAGTACATCTGGTGCTGTATTTGGTGAAACCTAGTTAAATTAATCTTATCAATCATATAAATTTAACAAAGACACATTTATTTGATCAGGTGTAATTGAAATGTTTCCACAACTCAGAAAAAATACATCTAGTGCCCAGGTGTAAACAGCCCCATAGTGTTATTTCAACAGGGAGTGGGCCAGATCTCAGCCTGATCTAAATGTATGTGTCTGTTTCCAGTGTGTCTGTTGGGTTTTGGCTGTGGACTGATGTGTAAAGTAAGCCAGAATGGAAGCCAAATTATGGCCCAGAGATGAGCCAGAGAGCTCTCACCGATTTCGGTGCTTTTCTTCTGTGGAATGTGGGATCAGCATATGTGATCTCTTCTGCACGAGTCTCAACTGTTGAAACAATAATGACATCTTTATGTCTACCTAATTATAGAGGTGATTTTCTCATTTCTGCAATGTTAATAACTTGAACATGAACAGGGTCAGCATTTGGTAACACTTGCCTTTTTGGGCTGTTTTCTTTTGCTTCATGCAGATGCCAAAGATCACGAGCAGAGCTAGAATCAAGCATCCAGCAGCAGCACAGAGCAGCACTTGTAGTAGGCCTGTAGGCAAAAATATACATGGACTATATGTACACACATACACACAAACACGCACACTTTTTCTCCGGCCAGTTTATTAGGTACACCTTACTTGTACAGGGTTAGACCCCCTTTTGCCTTCAGAACTGCCCTAATCCTAGGCATAGATTCAACAAGGTACTGGAAATATTCCTCAGAGAATTTGGTCCATATTGACATGATAGCATCACGTGGTTGCTGCAGATTTGTCTGCTGCACATCCATGATGTGAATCTCCTGTTCCACCACATCCCAAAGGAGTTCTATTGAATTGAGGTCTGGTGACTGTGGAGGCCATTTGAGTACAGTGAACTCATTGTCATGTTCAAGAAACCAGTCTGAGATGATTCACGCCTTATGACATGACGCGTTATCCTGCTGGAAGTAGCCCACAGAAGATAGGTGCACTGTGGTCATAAAGGAATAGACATGATCAGCAACAATACTCAGGTAGGCTGTGACACGATGCTTAATTGGTACTAATGAGCCCAGAGTGTGCCAAAATATCCCCCACACATTACACCACAACCACCAGCCTGAACCGTTGATACAAGTCAAGATGGATTCATGCTTTCTTGTTGTTGACACCAAATTCTGACCTTAACATCTGAATGACACAGCAGAAATGGAGACTCATCAGACCAGGCGACGTTTCTCCAATCATTCTATTGTCCAGTTTAGGTGAGCCTGTGTGAATTGTAGCCTCAGTTTCCTGTTCTTAGCTGAGAGGAGTGGCACCCGGTGTGGTCTTCTGCTGTTGTAGCCCATCCGCCTCAAGGTTAGACGTGTTGTGTGTTCAGAGATGCTCTTCTGCATACCTCGGTTGTAGTGAGTGGTTATTCAAGTTACTGTTGCCTTTTTATCCGCTGAACCAGTCTGGCCATTCTCCTCTGAGCTCTGGCATCATCAAGGCATTTGCGTCCACAGAACTACCGCTCAATGGATATTTTCTCTTTCCTGTACCATTCTCTGTAAACCCTAGAGATGGTTGTGCAAGAAATCCCGGTGGACCAGCAGTTTCTGTCTGGCACCAACAACCATGCCACGTTCAAAGTCACTTAAACCCCCTTCTTCCCTATTCTCATGCTCAGTTTGAACTGCAGCAGATCGTCTTGATCATGTCTGCATGCCTAAATGCATGGAGTTGCTGCCATGTGATTGGCTGATTAGAAATTTGCGTTAACGAGCAGTTGGACAGGTGTACCTAATAAAGTGACATGGTGAGTGTATATGTTTATCTAAAATCAGAGATGTACCTGAACATGGCTGACAGAGTGTGTTGATGTCCAGATGTATGGTCTGGTTGCTGATGGTGTTGTTGACCACACAGCTGTAGGTGCTGTTATCCTGATATTCCACCTCCAGAGGTAGAAAGAGACTGATGCTGAGATTAGACGTACTGATGCTGGACAATAAACTGTTTCCTTTGTACCAGGAGAGACTCACAGTGCTCACATTCAACACTGAACACACCACTGAACAATACTGCTCTGATAAAGATGTGGATGAAGAACATTGAGAAGAGCTCAAGAAGATGTCAGGAACAGGTAGACGAGCTGAGAGATATTAGAGAAAAACAACTACTTCAGTTATGACTCTTTAGATGCTGAAGACTGAGGCTCTTTACGATAGCTATTTACAATGTTTCCATCCATCTATTTCTATGCTCATTTTTGAGATGCACATAAAAATGATTGACGGAAATGCCAAGATGTGCATACATTTTGAAAATGCACCTTAACAATGTAGATGCATAATTGAGTAGTATAAGATAGATGGAAACACTTTTACCAAAGAAATTCCAGTATACGCATCAAGTCATGTGATTTTGTGATAAGAGATCATGATAAATGATAAATATGTGTGTAAATGGACAAACAAGCAGGCTGAGGACATTGTAAAACATCTGAAATGTTGTTTTGGTCATGCTAAAATGCCTTTAAAAAACCTTAATGACCAAATATGTCATTTTGGTTATAAAGATAAGAGAAAGTCATCGTTTAAAACAGTCTCTGTTTTGTGTGTGTGTGCGTGTGTGCGTGTGTGCATGCGTGCGTGCGTGCAAAATTTGAAGTGCATTTCACAAATGCATTAAATGCATGTCCGAATCCACTTTTGCTATTTTCATTCATTAATTCATTCATTCATGTTCTTTTCAGCTTGGTCCCTTTATTAATCCGGGGTCAGCGGAATGAACCGCCAACTTATCCAGCATATGTTTTACGCAGTGAATGCCCTTTCAACCCATCACTGGGAAACACCTATACACACTCATTCACACACATTCACTATGGCCAATTTAGCTTACCCAATTCACCTATAGCACATGTTTTTGGACTTGTGGGGGAAACTGGAGCACCTGGAGGAGACCCACGACAACACGGGGAGAACATGCAAACTCCACACAGAAACACCAACTGACCCAGCTAAGGCTCGAATCAGTGACCTTCTTGCTGTGAGGTGAATGTGCTACCCACTGCACCACCGTGCAGCCCCTTTTGCTATTTTATGGATGAAAAAATACACCCTGCGCCGCGGCGCATGGTTAAACAGGGTTGGCTCTTAATGAGTTATGGGTGTTTTGAGCATCTCCCATTTCCTTTAGGAGTCAGTTGCGTCGTGCCATGGCGCATTTGCTATTTACAAATGGCGGACTTTGTAAGTGAAAAAACTGAGTGCTTTACTAGCGAGAAAACAGTTAGACAATCTGCAGCTCGAGGATAAAGAACAAACCTCCTCCATTCTGCCTCTTTACTTTCTCTTTACTTTTACTTCTACTTTCGTAGATAGGAAACGGTGTTGTTCACACTCCACTTAAGACATCCATTAGCCTGCATATTTCAAGAGTTCCCACTTAGATATGCTTGGCACTTATAGCAGGTTTGGCATGCTGTCCCGTGAGAGAACCCTGAGCTCGGAGATATTTGAGCCCAGGGCTTCCGCCCGGTCTAGAAGCATATCAGGAGAACCGAGATCAGGTAGGTCTCGATCGCTCCCCCTTTAGAAGGGGAGAAAAAAAGGAGGAGATGGAGTGGAAGGGGGGATTCTTCCAAAACGAACATAGTGCAATAAGGAGAAAGTGATCCATTTATATTAAGCTAGGATCATTCTGATTGGATTATTACTGATTACGAATGAGTGGCCAGCGGTGCACAATCATATCACATGCTCCTCTCGAAATTAGTTTATGAAACTTCACTTAATTTGGTTTGTTAAGCGCAAAGATTTGTTTCAAAACTATTTCTAAATTCAGTTCTAATTTCCAGCAAACAAATAAATAAACAAAAATAACAAAGTGTGATCAAAAGACCATTTATATCCAAACACATGTCCTATTTTTATGTCCCTTATAGTGGGGCATACGTCTCCAAAACCCGACAGTTATAAATCTAAATTTGTTTTGATTAAAAATATATAAATATGCATACAATAAATTATTCTGCTAATAAAAATAACATTAATAAAAATGCTAATTGTCATGAATAAACTAAAAAAGCCCCCCTGAGACATGGAGGCAGTGGTTAATTTATTTATATTTAAAATATATATTTTTTAAACATTTTAATCCTTTCCATATGTAAAGATGTTTGTGCATTGCTGTACATCCTGTGTGTATTAAGCAATGTGTAAGTGTTTGGACCTGCATAGTAGAGATCTGTGCGGGACAAAATTTTGCTCCCGCTTACATTTAGCATTTGTTGTCAACACCCGAACTGCCCCATTTTCTACCTAAAGAAGGGGTGGGGGAGGGGGGGTAGGGGGAAAAAACAGAAAACCACCCAGCTATACAGAGTCCAGACAGCCTATAACAAGTTGTCTGTATAAACACGCGCACCCACACACAGACAAACCTCTCTCTCTCTCTCTCTCTCTCTCTCTCTCATTCGCGCACTCACAAACACACACACACATAAGCACCAAGTACGCACACAGGCAAAGCGCGCACACACACACACACACACACACCTCTCAATTGTGCGAGCGCACACACACACACAGTAACAAACAAGCTAAACACAGCATTGCGCTATTTAATTTACACACATACATACGCGTGCTTGCTCGGGAGTCGGGAGCGATATTGCTAGACGGTCCGCTCCCGTCCCAAATTAAACTCGTTACTGACTGCTCCCGCGCTTTATTCGGAAATTTAGGATTAAGTATTAGGATTTATTCGGCCACAGGATCAAGAAACTTGCCCACCAAGCATTTTATTTGTGTGTGTTTAAAATATGTCTAAACAGTGACAACTTGGCTAAAACAAGGCTAAATTTGGGCTGTCAGTGAAAATTGAATAGCCATCCGATAAAAGCCCAAAACCTGGCTAGATGTCCATTAGATTTTTACTAACGGCCCAAAATTTAAAATGTATATTTCACAAGATTATTTTGTACTTCGTAAACAAACACACACACACACACACACAAATCTTTAAAAGGACTATAACTGAAAACACTGATACCTTGCAAACATTGCAAGTAATACTTTACTCACCATAGACAGTACAGTTGAATGTGAAGAGTAATTTGCTGTCCGTGTTGGTTACTTTATAAAGTCCAGAGTCTGTGCTTCTGCTGTTTGTGATGGTCAGAGATCCAGTTTGATTGTCCAGCTTCAGTCGCCCTCCGAATCTCCTGTTAGCAGCATTATCATAGAATGTGCTCAAATGATTATTTCTGTTCAGTTTAGCTATCAGAATATTATTTCCAAACCGCCATTCGATCTCATCAATTTTCTGTTCTTTTGTAACGCTAATGTGTAGAGAGACCGAATCTCCTTCAGTCGCCAACACAGACTTCACTTCAACACCAAACACACCTGATAAATACACACACACACAGACAGACACACAAACTGTCTCAGCCAACTACTAGCAACTGTAATTGTTTTAAAACTATAGCAGTACTTAAAAGATGTACTAATATTTAAGCTAAACATTATTATGAACTAATGATGAGTGAAGACATGTGCTAATAATTAACTTTAACAACATAAGTCATGTGAGTTTGTATGAATAATGGCTACCTTATTACTTGTTAGTTCATGTTTGTTAATAAATGGTTTAGCTATATTATTATTGCATTATTTTAGCTATATGTAGGGCCAGACAAGATATGCGCGCGCAGAATTCCACAGATTTTCCGAAGATTTTTAGCCCATCATTAATTCTGTTTATTCACTTAAGTAAATGTGTGTACATCTATATTTATTCAGTTTTTAAATTAATTACAGTAACATTATTGACTAATATGAAAATATTCATCTGATTTATGTACAATGCAGTTTGTACAGTAATATTTTCTGTCTTTTAGTAGAGATATTATATGAGAGACTTGCTTTGTTTACCAAATAAAGTGGATCTAATTGGATTTGCATTTTAAACTATAAAGTTAAAAAGTATTATTTTTATTTTATTTTAGTCATAATTCTCCCAAAATCATTCAGCAGAAATCAGTAGATTTTTACCAATATTTTCAGCAGAAGTAGCAAAAAAACATTCGCAGATTCATCTGGCCTTAGCTATATGTAACCAACATGAATTCATGACCTATTAATGTATTTTAATGTCATCACTTTACTAGAAGAGGCACATTATCATTACTTCACATATCTTAAGCTCTCTTGAACTCCTGTTTAAACTGTTAGTTTTGATGTAGACAGAACACCTTTCTATTATTTTTCAGTGTAAACACAGTATGACCGTAACGTTTAAACACAGAGGTGACATGTTAGTTTGTCATTTCTAGCATGCCTTTATTCATCATTAGTTCATAAAGGAACATTAAATGAATATATTATTACATCAATATTAATGTACTGTTATTATAAAATACCACTATAAAACAGTGTGTCATTTCAACAGGCTAAATTACAGTAACTTGTGATGAATTTAACGTTTCATATAATAGGGTAAGTAAAACAAACAATGGAAATAATGAACAATATGGTGCATGTAGACAAATGATAATATGCTGTAAACATATATTGTTATGTCTCTTTGTAAGGAGAATATAACATACTGTTATGCAAGAAAAAAACAATCAGATACAGATCTGACAATAAAGTTTGTTTAAATATATTGTACTAAACCTAATAATAACATAATCAAACTTACCAGCTAGACTCCATGAGCACAAACTGAAGATTCTAAACAAGTCCAACATTTTCTTAAGGGATTTCACTGAATTGTTTTAAAGAACTTTCACAGAATGGTCACAAATAAGATAAACGCAGCAGAAATACTTAGACTCTTTTTTTTTTTTAATGAACTAACAGAAGAGTTTGAAAGCTGCTGGTCTGCAGGCGCTTGTGAAAATAAAGTGAAGCTCTGCAGTCAGTGACAACAAACTTATCTAGTGGGTGTCACCCTTCAGAGACTGTATGTTTTTATAGAAATAGACTGCTTGGTCTACTTTCTAACAAAGGGAAAGCTAATTCTCTCTATGGACACCCTGCTGAAAAATCCAGCTTAAACCAGCCTAGACTGGTTGGCTGGTTTTAGCTGGTTGACCAGCCTGGTTTTAGAGGGGTTTTGGCCATTTCCAGGCTGGTTTAAACCCATTTCCAGCCTGGTCTTAGCTGGTCAGGCTGGAAAATGACCAGCCAAATCCAGCTTAAACCAGCTCGACCTGCCTGGTTTAAGCTGGATATAGCTGGTTTTGGCTGGACTCCCAGCTTGGCTAGGCTGGTCAAGCTGGTTTTAGCTGGTCATCTCCCAGCCTGACCAGCTAAGACCAGGCTGGAAATGGCTGGAGACCAGCCTGGAAGTGGCCAAAACCCCTCTAAAACCAGGCTGGTCGACCAGCTAAAACCAGCCAACCAGCCTAGGCTGGTTTAAGCTGGATTTTTAAGCAGGGCAGTATTTTAATATTAACAATTTACATTACAAAAAGCCAATAAATGTTAGATTTGTTCTGATATCTCTCAGTTCCTATACACAGCCATTGAAAAAGGCAAGGGAGTGCAGGAAAAAAAGGTCTCTTCACCTACTATTCTACACTTAACCCATGCCACAGCAGCAAATTAAACGAGTTAAAGTTCATTTAATTATAAGGCACATTTGAAAACAGCCTGACCAAAGTGGAAGACTGACCATAAGTGCTGTACATAAGACTATATAGAAATAATAATGAAAACAGGAAACCCTATTCTGAGCTAGCAACATCGTACCATCGTATCTGTAAACTGGTTGCATCCATTTTGTGAGCTGGTAGACTGGAGGCAGCCATTTTGTGGTCTAGAGAACTGGTGGCAGACTTCTTGTGCATTAGTGGACTGGTGGCGGCCATTTTTTGAGCAGCAAGCTCCGTTGCCAGCGAGTCTTGTTGTTAAGCCCCCTCAATTTTGCTCCAGTTTGCACCGGTTTTGACAATTGTCTGTCTGACAATTATTTTTTAATAAACTGCACAATGCACATGGATCCTCACCTCTGTTGCCCTCAACCATTTGTTACAGTATGCTCCAACTAATCCAGCAGAAAGAATGTCTCTGCAACATACTTTGACAAATGTTCTATATAATTGTATTCATGAGGATTTGTTATTTTAGCTGAAAATTTAATTGCACTGAACATTTTCTGGACATAAATTACACTGAACCACACTTTCTTTAACATGGGCGTCTTATTCAATTATTCAAAGAACACAAGGTTGTTGATATTTAGAGGAATTTTAATGGAACTCAAAGGCAGTACATATATGCTCATGTTTATGATCATTTAATTTATTTAGCAAGGCTGGATATATTTAGAAATTCAAACATCTTCTTAAAGCACCTTGAGTTGATGGGCTACCAGTGGACTTTTATAAGTCAGAAGTAGAGCAGTTCTCATGCTTTTGACAAAAAAGAAGACTTGAATGACATTAAAAACTGGAGACTGGTGAATTACTGTGCCGTGATTATAAAAAAGAAAACATTTACTGACTTGCTTTTCCAAATCATACCCAAAGTGGCTGAGTTCAGGTGAATGTGCAGTTCACGGTGGATGTTCAAATATACTTTCAAGTTCATCAAACTACTCTGTCACAAGTCTTGCTGTGTGTATTTGTGCATTATTATTCTAATACATGGGACCAACTTCACTCTGGGCATGCAACATTCTGGGTGGTACAGGGGCTACTGTCTGGGCTTCTCTACACCCTAACTCTCCAGGATGTGGGAAAGGAAGTGAAGGTGGACTCATCATAGAACAATACACTGAATCCAGAAAATGTTTTACATTGTCCGCAGCACAGCCCATATATATCTTTGCTGCTGGCACCATAAAAATCGTTGTTTGGCATTCGCAGGAGTGACCAAAGGTTTGGCTAAAGCAGCCTGGCCATGTTGATCCTGTGAAGGTCCTAATGAACAGTTTTGGTGGAAACAGAAGAGTTGAGGTGGATATTTAATTAGTTTTATGTTTTTTAAATAAACTGAGAACAGATTTACATGGGCTGTATATTCCCAGTTGTGTGTACAGGTTTAAAGTGCCAGCTTATGCAGATGAGGTTTCATTTAGACTTTAGATAAGTTGGTTTTAGACTTGTTGCTCATAACAAGTCTTGATGATCGTTTTTCACGTTTCCAATGTGTGATGGCCAAATCCAGATGCCTCCAAGCCCAGAGAAGTCAACAGCGTTTTTGGACATTGTTAACATGGGGCTTTCTTTTGGCACAGTGCAGCTTTAACTGGCATTTGTGGATGTAACTACGTATTGTGGTACTTGACAAAGGTTTGCCAAAGTAGTCCCAAGCATATGTGGTGATAACACTTACAGATGAATCAGGATTCTTGATGCAGTGCCGCCTTAGGGATCGGAGATCACGGTTGTTCACCTTATGCCTAGTTCAGACTGTGTGATTTTAACCCCGATTTTGGCTCGCCGACAGGTTTTGAGAAATCGCCGACAAATGCCTGAAATCACAGGCAAATCGCTGCTCGTGCACATGAGTGACAATCACACAGTATGAACTATCAAAGACTCGATCTGAGAGAATCGCAGATGAGTCGCCGATGCCTGTGAGATATTTGGCGTGCTAAATATCTGGAGCTGTCGGCGATTCAAATCACGCCGTGTGAATTGAGTTTTGACTGAAAATAACGAGCCATCGCCTACAGCCAATGAGAGAGCAGCTTTCACTTGTGTGTGTGCGTGTGTGTATACCTGCTGCAGGCCAGCTGGAGGCTGGGGGAGAAGTTAACAGCGCTCTTTTTCGGTTTATTTGGACCCACGAAATGGAGGAAAAACTAGTGGAGGTTTGACAGGCCTCAGGAGCAACCGTGTCTGTTTGACGTTTCATACAGAAAGAAAATAGTTTTTTTATCAACTTAAGTTGAGGAGAAATGGCTAATTCCCTTTAAACCCAGGTGAGCAAACATGTACATGTTCTACCCCATTAAAGGCTTCTTTCTCATTATGTAGTTAATAACAAAAGATATACTACATGTTTTTGGCTGTGAGAAGTAGTTTGGACGAAGTTGTCGGCGATTCTCCCTATAGTAAAGTCATGCAATGTGAATGCCCATGTCGCCGATCCATCTTGCAGTGTAAACAAAGCAGCGACGAAACGCTAGCCCAGATAGTCATGCAGTGTGAAAACATCTGTGACACGACTACTTTGAAAATCATGCAGTCTGAACTCGGCATTAGGGTTGTGCTCTTGTCCTTTATTTGTATTTGTTGGCAAACAAAAGATTATCTGTCTATCTTTGCTCCTAAAGTACTAGACCTTTTTTGGATGCTGCTTTTTTTAATCAATCATTCATTTTCTTTTCGGCTTAGTCCCTTTATTAATCTGGGGTTGCCACAGCAGAATAAACCTCCAACTTATCCAGCACGTTTTTACGCAGCAGATGCCCTTCCAGCCGCAACCCATCTCTGGGAAATGCTGCTTTTGTACCAAATCATAATTACAATCACCTGTTGAAATCACATCATCATTTAATCAATTTATCTGATTACTTGTCCTTAACTGCTCCTGTCCCAACTTTTTTTGGAATGTATTTCAGGTCTGAATGACAGGAAAGGATGTATACCCTGCTGAAAAATCCAGCTTAAACCAGCCTAGGCTGGTTGGCTGGTTTAAGCTGGTTGATCAGCCTGGTTTTAGAGGGGTTTTGGCCATTTCCAAGCCATTTCCAGCCTGGTCTTAGCTGATCAGGCTAGAAAATTACCAGGCAGGTCCAGCAAAAACCAGCTTGATCAGCTAAGACCAGGCTGGAAATGGCTAGAAACCAGCCTGGAAGTGGCCAAAACCCCTCTAAAACCAGCCAACCAGCCTAGGCTGGTTTAAGCTGGATTTTTCAGCAGGGTATTTACAAATGAAATAAATCAGACAAAAGATTAAATATTTTGTGTTCATATTGTCTGCAATGAAATACAAGTCAAGTAAATTTGGAAATTACTACTTTCTTTTTTCATTTACATTTTCCATACTGTCCCAACTTTTTCTGATTTGGGGTTGTACCCGGTTCCCGGCACTGGTTGTTACAAATTTTGACTATCAGTTGGATATTTCCCAGGACAGTTGTTGTGAACTAGCTCAGGGAAGAAATATTAATAATGAATCATGATTAGTAGTAATTATTATTATTAGATAAGCTATACACTTTTACTTGACATATTTGGGTCAAGAAATTATTTGTTCAAAGATAGTTAATTTCATGGTTATATGAAATAACCTTGTTAAAACAGAATTCTCCACAGAGCATGTAGTAAAGCTGGCATTATTAGGCAATTCAGGTAAGAACAAATAATGTACAACTTCAATTAAGATACAAAAAAGACTTTATTAACAATGTTAAACACTTATGTCTCTATTTTAACAATCTAAGTACAAAGTCCAAAGCGCAGGGCGCAAAAGCATTTTTTCTTATCGAATAAAAGGTTTATCCTACTCAGTTATGCACATTTTCAAAATTTGTGCGCATCTTGGGATTTCCATCAGCCATTTTTTATGCGCACAAAAAAATAGGTGGATGAAAACATAGCTACTGTTTATATTTGTGCATATTTAACCTTTTTTATCTGCGCCCCAGTTTTGAGCATTTTTCAGAAAACGACTTACCCAAATAAAAATGTCTGTAGTTCTTGAACCCTGTGTTCTATGTTTACAAGTCTGGTTTTGTTTAAAACTAGACATTGGCTAGTTTGGTACCCAAGGGACAAAATAATAAAGTAGCACTCAAAGTACTAAAGAAACAGAGTAAAACATGGTAAAATATAGGTGAAAGTGAATTGCGATTAGTTTTAATGAAATTCATTAGAGGAAAAATGGATGTGACTTTTAGGATAATTGCATGGAAACATCAGAAAAATGAAGCTAAATGTCTGACTATGTTTTGATTCAAATTTCATGATGATACTCCCAAAAATGTAGCTTCTTTAAGCTTTTATTTTCAAAAAGTCTAGGCATCCTTTCTAAAAAGCCATTTGGAAACTCCAAAAAGACACCTGGTAATTAAATGAGTCAAAATCACATAATGCATATATGCATATCTGTTCACCTCAAACTGTTCTGCCTACAAAACCACACAAGGAAAAAAAAGTACTTCAGATCAACATTTGTGGCATTTCCGCATTTGGTGTCCATTTGGAGTCTCCAATTGACATTTTATTTTAAAAAAACAAAAAACACCTGGACTTTTTGTGAATAAAAATTAAGTATTAGTATTGGCTTACTTAAACTACAAATTTGAACTATTTTTAAAACATATTACTGTAATTTAGCTTACGCAGTCTAGGAAACATTTTAAAATGGTATTTAGACGTATTTGCACATATCAATGTCTTAATTTCAATTTATTCTGGATCTATGGCTTAATTAGCGACTATTCCAGGCTTTTTGATCCATGTTTTCACGTCCATTCATCGCCTTTAATCTTCCAAAACAGTATGAAGACCACAAAACTGTTCTAATGTTGACTTTACTTGATAGAGAGGCCCGAGTTTTGGAGACTGATCCCTGCGCTGATCTAGAGCTTGCTAGATAAGACTTCGCCAAAGTACTTTCGCTATGTGCGCAGAAGCGGAAATATACAAAAAAATGTGCAAGGATTTTATCGCAAACTACTTAAACTGTGTATCACTGTAAAGGTTAGTTGATTGACTACTTCATCGATCCATCAAAACTTTGCTGGCTTGGCATTGACTGGTATTATTCAGCGTAAACACGAGGTGTGAAGATTGACACCTGATCCAGTCAGAAGCTGGTTTTCTTTGGCCCCGTTTACACTAATGCGTTTTAGTTTGAAAACGCATAAGTTTTGCTACGGTTACGCCATCCGTCCACACTACGCTGGAGTTCTCGAGCGCCGAAAACGGAGCGTTTCGAAAACGCTGGAGAGGCCATTTTCATTCTGAAACGCTGCTGCTCCATCTCCGTGTGGATGATGGAAAACGGAGACATCTGAAAATGGAGGCGGGGCTGCAGACATTCGCCTCTCTGATTGGGGCTTTTCCTCA